TTAATGTTATGATGCATCGTTGGTCCGGCGTACGACGGCGCCTGGTGCGATTTATGCGTCCGGAAGCCCTTTCAGCCTCCCAGGCATGTCCCCACCTGCCTCACAGCCACCGACGCATCTCACGGCGGGGGTCGAATTGCGTGCGCGTATGGATGCTCCTTTCCCCTGCCGCCTTTCTAACAACTAGTAATGTTATGATGCATCGTTGGTCCGGCGTACGACGGCGCCTGGTGCGATTTATGCGTCCGGAAGCCCTTTCAGCCTCCCAGGCATGTCCCCACCTGCCTCACAGCCACCGACGCATCTCACGGGGGGGGTCTAATTGCGTGCGCGTATGGATGCTCCTTTCCCCGCCGCCTTTCTAACAACTAGTTAATGTTTTGATGTATCGTTGGTCCGGCGTACGACGGCGCCTGATGCGATTTATGCGTCCGGAAGCCCTTTCAGCCTCCAGGCATGTCCCCACCTGCCTCACAGCCACCGACGCATCTCACGGCGGGGTTCTAATTGCGTGCGCGTATGAATGCTCCTATTCCTGCCGCCTTTCTAACAACTAGTTAATGTTATGATGCATCGTTGGTCCGGCGTACGACGGCGCCTGGTGCGATTTATGCGTCCGGAAGCCCTTTCAGCCTCACAGGCATGTCCCACCTGCCTCACAGCCACCGACGCATCTCACGGCGGGGTTCTAATTGCGTGCGCGTATGGATGCTCCTATTCCTGCCGCCTTTCTAACATCTAGTTAATGTTATGATGCATCGCTGGTCCGGCGTACGACGGCGCCTGGTGCGATTTATGCCGCTTGGACCAATAGCCAACCGCTGATTAGAGGTATAGATAGCTTGCTATAATAAGGCACGCTAGCTATGCTGCCATCACCGCCATCACCATTAATGCCGTATGCCCCTTACCTTCCCCTCCCGCCTGCTGCGCTGCATGCAAGCTCCTGGGTTTCGAGGAGGCCCGCTGGGTGATGTCTGCATGCACCATGCTCCTGGGGATCCGCATGCTCCAGGTGGCATCAGGTGGCTGGCACTAGGGTTTGTCGCTGGGTGCATTCCAATGCGTATGTATACTACGTATCTACATAGTAATCTGTGTGTACGTAAGGACGTATATGTACATACGTACGTACAATGCATGTATGTACATATGTATGTATGTTGTTACAGGGTGGTTAACTTCGCCAGCGGCCCCCTTTCCCTAGGGTATGTATGTATGTCTTTTATTAGACTGTGGACCGCTAGAGCCGGAGGCAGAGCCGAAACACAGCGCAAGGGTCGGGAGCACACAGCAAAACTCGGCTAGTCATGTGTACTCCCGACCCGATTCAGGCCGTCAAAAAGTACGCATCGCAGCCGCTCCGCCGCGCCTCAGTCCTGGGATGGCGCGGCAGTACAAGCAGGACTGGCTCTCAAGTCCCGCCTGAACTCCTTCCTGAGCTGAGGCAAGGGCTCACCGAAGTCTCCAGTCCACCCCCAAAACGAAGAGACCAAGGAGAACGGCCGGGGTGTCTCGGACAGGGGAGGTCTCCTGAAAACTGCACACAATCCAATCATCGGCCTCCAAAAAGGACAGGCAAGAGAGCTAAAAACCACAAGACGCCTCGCATCCACCTCAAGACTCCTGACCTCCTCCACCTCTCCTTCCCTGGGCTGTTCCAGGGGAGATACGGGAGGACTGTGTCATGGGACACGGCTCCTTGGTCCACCAGAAGTCCACAGGGGAAGGAAAGAAGCCCGCGTGGCGCCTCCCCTTACCGTTACTAGACCGGAACGGCTGGTCTTCTAGATCTCAAGAGAACCACCAGAAGGCAAAGTTCCCGCCCTCTATCTCTGCCAAACCACCCAACCCTGCAGTACAGACGTGCCTAAGTAGTACGGCCCCTCTCGGGTCACACCTCCCCCTCATCCGAGCCCCGCTGCAACCACCGGTGTTCTACCTCCTGATTCCCTCCTGAAGACCTACGTCCTCTTGGCGCTCTCTCAGCCTTACCCCATCCCCTCCCCGATCGCCCCCAGCTATCCCGGTCTCTCCAAACCCTTCCCCTAAGCGTGGTGTTAGGGGAAAACCGACCCCCTCCCTGCCCCTCACTACCATTCCCCCCTTTCCCCTACCCTCCCCCAACCAACGAAACACTTCCCCCTTGGCTCCCCACCTGCCACTTTCAACTCCACCCCTTCCTTCCCACCCATCCTATTGCCCTCTGCCCCCCACACCACCCTCCAACCCTTAAGAGCTCTGCGCCCCCCACCCGCCTTCCCTTCCCCCCACCAGTCCCAATCACCCTCAACCTCCCATACAACACCCGAGCCCTGCCCTGCCTAACCCGCCCACAAGCGCTCTTAAGCTGTGATTTCGACCGCCTCCGCGCATCACATCGCTGCTTCTGCAACCGATAAGATCGGGAGGTCAGGTCCCACTCCGTCCCAGCCCCTTCGTGGGATGCCCAGCACCACGAAAGAGGGTAAACACGTCCAGAAGTCCACCACTGCCCGGGCGCGGGCTCGCTCCAAGGGGGTTGCGGCCACCATGGTTGCCGCTGTTTCTACTGCCCCTGTCTCTGTATTTCGCCTCGGTGTTTGGTCCTCGTCCCCCGGCGCGTTCAGTGCAGGCCCCGTCTGCGGTCCCACCACATCGGCCGGGGGGATGAAGTCCGTTATCCGCTGCTGCCTGGGGCCCTGCGCCTGTACCTGCTGAGCTAGCTGTTGCGGCGGCGGCTCCTGGTTTGCCGCCCTTTCCTGTCTCCTCCTGGCCGCCCTCAGGCAGCATCTGCCGACCTCCATGGCAGACAGGGCCGCTAGAGCAATCACGTCCCAGGGGGCCTGCTTGCAGCCGGTCGGGGGCTGTACTAGCCAGACCTGCTTCCGGGTGACACCTATGTATGTATGTATGTTGTTACAGGGTGGTATAGCTTCACCAGCGGCCCCCTTTCCCGAGGCAGTCCCTGCTCTCCCCTACGAGAGGGACACCCTAATCCATTCACCCCATCCACTTCAGAATGTATTCGTTGGGTTCAGCAACTCATCACCAGCATCCAGCCAAATCTAGCGGATCAACGGCGCCTCAACTTAGTTCCTGGTCAGCTGTAGTATCCTGGGTATCACGGGATCTAGCATCCACCGATCGGTTCTTTTCCTGCGATTAGACGTGATACAACATCAGCTCACAAGTATTTATGTGCTAAGTACGGACTGCTGTGTGTTAGAACTTGACGGAGCTGATAGATTCATCCAGTCGGCGTGCTCTTGGATATCTTTAGCCAGGTGGCGTCGACGTTTAGTGGGTTGGTTGGCTGCTTGGCTCACAGTTGAGTATACATGCAGATGTTCTAGTGCGGACCCTGCCCGCCGCTTTGCATGCCCAACCTATCTTGCTTGTCGCTCCCTTCATTAAGCTCTAATTGCCTAAGTAACCCCCCTTTGCCGCTCATAGGTCTGGAGGGAACGGGCATCTATGTGCAGATCATTATCCGCATCATCAAAGACCTGGGCCCCTTCCTGCTCATTGTGGCGGCCGGTGCTGCCAAAACGGGCGCCGCTGTTTTAGAAACAGTGGTGATGAATGCCCTTGGAAAAGGTCTCCAAGAAGCGCCGCCGGGATGATCGGGCTGCTCTGGAGCAGGCCGATGAGATTCGCGCGGACTTCATGGCAAACGAGCAGAAGGTGCCGAGGGACATGATTGGTCACCGTCTGCAAGCCTTCACAGGCTTCCACCTTGGCCTACAGATAATCCGCAGCTACCTCGATGCTGGCTGCTACGAGAAGGCTGCCGAATGGACCGACCGGCTTCAGCTTCGTGCCGAGATTGGCATCGTGGCTACACACCAGCTCGCCTCAGAGCCCCGTGTAGGTCTGACAGCCGCAGACCACTGCTTCAATAACATCATTGACACGCGGGTCCCCAAGGGCAAGAAAGCAGAGGCCCTCGTGCGGAAGCAGAAAGTCTGGGCCTTGCTGACGGTGAGTGCCTCCATGCCTGGCAGTCATGGCGGCGGCAATTCTCGCGGCACTGGAGGCTCGGGTGGCGATTGCAGTGGTGGCGGATCGCGCGGCAGCAGCCACAGGGGTGGCGGCCAGCGTGGAGGTCATGACTACGGTGGAGGTCGTGATGCAGAGCGCTATGATCGCAGTGATCGCTATGGCAATGGCCACCGCAGCGGCAAGTAGTGATTTTCAGGCTTTGGTGCCGTAAAGTGGGCCCACGGGCCCTGTCAATTTTTTCCAGGCCCGCATGCCGCCTCAATTCTTTAAGGACCAACACCGGTCAGCGCAGCGTGCGCAGGAGTAATCTTTTCTGGTTGTGATGAAGTTGCCAGCGAGCATATAGTTGGGCACCCACGAGTGAAATTGAGGCGCCCACATGCGCAGTTGTTGGTGCCCACGAGCGCAGATGTGAGCATCGTTGAATGCCTTTTCTATTTGCAGTGCCTTTCTTTCCCGCATTTTCTTCTATCGCGTTTCTTGTTTTGAGGTTGTGGACAGACCGTCGTATGGGTTCACTCTGTGGCAGTGTTTGCCGTACTTTTTTGGTCAATTCTCGTCAGGCCAAGCGCCTTGGCAGCCGGCCGGCTGGGGGACCCGTTTTTTCGCCTGTCATACTTCTTTAAGCGTTGTTCTACTTTCTCGCCTCGCCCGTGTCTCCATCAGTCCGTCCGGTGCACACTCGCAGGCCTTCATAACCGCCAGTGAATTCCGTCTGAGGAACCATGGATTCGTTCTCTCATGACAATGCTATTGCCTTCCTGTCAGAGCTAGGGGTAGAGGCCCTCTCACGTTCAGGCCTTGTGGAAGACGTCCAGCGTCGCAACACCAGCCAATTCAAAGGGCAGCACCTTTTAGGTCAGCCGTGCGGCCCACCTGCTGCAGCCCCCGACGACATGCCAGCCCCCAAACAGCCCGCACCGGGGCCTGTCCCTGCCCGTCGGCCAAACCTGGACCCCGCACCAGTCCCGGCAAGTCTGGCCACGCATCGGAAACAACCAGCCCGTTCCGCAGTGGCGCCAGAAGGTGCGAAGGTTGAGGCCCCAGGTGATTTCTGGAAGGATAAAGGGGAGTTTTCTAGTCCTACTTCGCCGTGAATGTCGTCAACAAGGGCTCCACAAAAGCGGACAACTCCCACAAGGTCGCCTGCGAGCTGCACAGCTACTGTTTCGAACAGGATATCTGCTTGCAAGCGGAGTGGCGACCCCGCGGCCAGAACCAGCTCGCCGATGCGCTTTCGAAACTGCAAGACCCTGATGACTGGATGCTGAAGCCCAGCATATTCCGCCGGCTTCACGACACCTGGGGCCCCTTCGACATCGACCTATTTGCGTCCCACGCGAATTTCCAACTCCCCGTGTACTACTCCTGCTACTTTACCCCAACGATGTCTGGAGTCGACGCGTTCAGGTTCTCATTGGGCCACAGGTGCTGGGTGAACCCGCCTGTTCACCTCCTCCTCAAGGTGTTGCAGCACGCCGAGGCCTGCAAGTCCCGGCTCTGCCTTGTCGCGCCTTTCTGGCCTACCCGCGACTGGTGGCCTTTCATCACGGCTGACGGGGTCTGGTTCAAACCCTTCGTAAGTGGAGTCCGCGTGCTCGGCCAGGCCTCAGATGTCTTCCTGGCCCGCACCTCAGGGGTCCCCCTGCCCAAAGGCGCATCACATTGGTCCACCTTGGCCCTTCTGGTCGACTTCTCGGCCTCTAACATCAACCGTATCCGTGTCCCTGCCGATCCGATCACGCCCCATGCACAGATTTAGATGCCTGGGCTGAGGCTCTCCTGGTCGCTCTTGGGGCGGAGGCGGACGCGGAGCTCTCCACTTTGGCGACTCAGTTCACCGAAGTGGCCGGGCAGACCCTCGCCCCGTGGACGTCCAACGAATACACGCGGTCTTGGGAACCTTTCCGTGAGTGTGGGCGGCCAGGCAACTGCCCAGAAGCATCTATGACACCCTGGGCGAGGTGGTGACGCTCTACCTGCTCTCCCTGCTGAACTCGTCCAAGGAAGACAAGGTGGGGCCCGGACAGGTCCGCACAGCGAGTGCAGCAATCAGCTCCTACTTCCGCCTGGTTGGCAGAGCACCCCCTACAGAGCACCCTGCCTGCAGCATCATCCGTGACCTCGCCGAAAAGCAACTCCAAGGCCGCAAGCTGGAACACGACGCCCTGGAGCCGGCCGACATCACGGTGCTGGCCCGGCTGGTCGGTGGGCTGGAGCCACCCCTCGACCAGCTGATGACCGTTACGGCCATCACGGTCATGTTCACAGGGTTCTTTCGGTTCGACAATGCTGCGGAGATAAGCGTTCATGAGGACCTTCTGGTTATCACGGCAGCTGGGATGGATGTTTTCATCCCTCGGTCCAAGACTGATCAGCAGAGACAGGGTCACTGGGTTCCGATCGCCCATGTCGGCGGTGCCGCTTGCCCTGTGGGCCTGATGGAGCGACTCCTCACCCTAGGACGGTACAAACGCCGCCCAGACACGCCGGACGAGGACGTCGGGCCCCTTCTGTGGCCGGTCCAGTGGAACAGGGCCGGGAGGTACCTGTCGGGCCCCCTGACAGGCACGGCAGCCCAGCCGATCCACTCCCTGTCGTACCCTGCCTTCTGCCACCGGCTCAACAAGACCCTGCAGGCGGCGGGGATCACCCGCTGCATCACTGCGCATTCCATGCGCATAGGAGGAAATAGCACTAGCAGTACTGCTGCCGATCGCGGTGTGCCTGCGGACCTGCACAAGGCGCACGGCCGTTGGCGCAGCGACACCATGGTGCAGCACTACACGTGGCGCGACGGGGAGGCGAAACTCTCCGTCTCCCGCAGCCTGGGCCTCGCCAGTGAGCAAATGTCTCTTCGGTCTGCTGTGTAAGGCCCGTGGCAGCGGTGCAATTCTCGTCAAAATCGTCCAAACCACGCTGTTCAGCACCATCGGGTCAGCCAATCCACAGCCACCAGAGCCAGTTACGGGAGACAGTAACACAGAACAGCTACTAGTACTTCTGGCTGGAATGCCGGCCACACACTGATCCGCTTGAATAAAGTACTAAGAGCAGCAATAACAAAACAGCAAACAGCAGGACATACAAACAAGGAAACCAGTTTAGTACGATCTGGGGTTGGAGGCACCTCCACATGCTAGCCGTCGTACCTGGTCCAGTGACAGTTGTCGTGCCGAGAGATCCAGTAAAGTCACATTCCCCTTGGATGAGAAGGTCAGTACTATTGGAGAACTGCTGGGCCTGCCGTCAAACGCAGCAGGCAACATCAGGGGCCGCATCCTGACCAATTCATCATCGCTTTCGAAGAACTGACGAATTAGGGGACGAGATAAATCCCCATCCTGGAACAGATGATGTAAGCCGACATACCATGGTACTTTCATGCCATCCTGTATGTAGGTGGAACAAGCGGGGGCAGATTTAGTGTGATTGGCTGTGAGCGGCGGCGGATTGCTTGACTAGGGAGGAGGATAGCTGTGTTGAACAAATGCTCTATTCGTATTCAAGAATAAGGAAGCGGTGAGTGCAAATCACATAGCAGTAGAAAGGTAAGATACGGTAGTTACTTTCGTCGCGTGCATGTGTGAGCGGGGTTTGGTCGCAAGGTTGGGTATAGCTTCAAGTTAGCACCGGTTGCTAGCTAGGCGGAAATGGGCGGACATAGTAGCTGCCATACAGTACGACACACAGCCCGTCTATAGGGTTTCTGTCAGCATCTACCTTGAGAGGCCTTTCCTACATACCACATCGGATAACTTAAATCGGCGAGGGAGACCACCGGGTACCAAGAACGTGGATGAGTGGATGTGCATGGATGACTGATCCCCTCGCCCCATGAGGATGCATGCATCGTTAGCTCGGCGGATGGGATGGACGGTGCAGCCCGAATGCTTATATCCCTCCTATATAATTACCATCACCCTAAATACTATCTAGGTAGATGAACAATAACAGCTAGGATTAACGCAGTTGATAGTCCTAAGCGGTGGTTGGTAGCTACCACTTAGGACTTTAGTCCTAAGTGCAAATTGGTAGTTCGAAGTACAAATATAAACTTCTTTGAAGGACATATGCAGGTGCCCAAGTTCATCACCTTGATATTGATGCCCATAACATCACCGCGCTTGCTACAACTCAGAAGCCATGCGGGATGCTGGAACAAGATGCATAACGGTGCGCTGTAGTGATCAGCAATCATGTGCAGCACGACTCCCGTCGCCACGTCCCAGATGCGCACGGTTTTGTCGTACGAGGCAGTCGCCAGGGTGTCTTCATCCGGTGACAGTGCTGCGAGATACACCACATCTTGATGTCCCGCGAATCGCTGTGCTGTCTTGCCTGTATGATTGTGTGACACGGGGGGGGGTTATAGCTTCACCCGGGGCCACTACCCTAGGCCACTACCTGGCAGTTCCTGCCTTCCCCGATATTTCCCACCTCATCCTTCTCAACCATGCCGGCTTCTACGAAGTCGGTGACATTTCGGGTTCAGCACCCACCACCAGCATCAGTGGAATCTGCCGAACCAACGGAACATCAACTCCACTTCTAGTCGGCTCACAGATCACTAGAGCCGGGTCCATCACCGTCCATCGGCATGTGGGTGCATCCTCCCGCTTACGGTTGAGGGATTTATTATTCCTCTTTTGCCGGGGTCGATCCTGGAACCTTCCAGGGACACTTATGCCGCGCTTTAACACATTTGCTGTGTCTGAAGCCCTATAGCCTGTATGTATGTGTATGGTGAGCGCGCCAGCAGGCAGGCATGCAGCAGGCACACCTACATACCGGGCCGGCCATCAAACAGAACGAAACCCTAAAACCATTAAAGTTACACCAAAAGAACGTCACCACATGCTTCACGATACTTGTGACCACCATGTCAGAAGTACTAAAGGTGACTGCAAGTGTAATCCTAACAGGGTTCCACAGGAAAGAGAAGGAAAGCCCATCACCTGTTGAGAGGTTGGTGATTACAGCGGTTTTATCAACTGAGCTTGTTAAGCAGTGCAGCCCGTCACGTGTGAACCGGGCACAACAGATGCCCTTTGCGTGAATGCCATTGTATCTACACTTCTCCTCGCCAGTATTGAGGTCCCACAGAATTAAGCACGAATCCTCCTTGTGGTTTGTAGTGAGCATCTGGTCGAAGTCCTTGTTGACCTGGAGACGCATTAGCCTAGTTGTGGAAACACTGTCTGTGTTAACCACCTACAGGCGGGGGGGCCAACAGGGGGGCCAACAGGGAGTGCAGGTCGGGAGCTCAAGAAGTGCTTACGTATACCATAGTCCCATGCGGATTTTTGTACCTTCTGTAGCTCAGGAACCAGGAATGGCAAATATTCAAACAACCCTGCGCCCTTCAAAACACACTACGTGCTGCATAGCCAGCTACCGACACCTCAACCCCAAGATAGCTACCCGCCCCACCATCCATTAATTATCCTCCCTCCTGCCTGCCCGAACCCAGTCATCATGTCTGCCCCCAATAAAGGCAGGATCAATCCACAGCCCCTGCTCCCTAAAAGAGCAGGCAGCACTGAGTCCAGCAAATAGTGGCTATCACCCATGCCATACATATGCCATGCCCGTCCTTCCCAGCCACTTCCCTGCCAGCATTTATGCATGATAACACACACACACACATACCTACCCGCAGAAGGTTCTTGGATTCAAGACTGAACAGCCGGACCTTCCTGTCTGCACCAGAAGTGATCAGCTTCCCGCGCATTTGAAGAGTTGTCGTCCCGCCATCAGTGTCAGACACGAGCCCCGCATCTTCGCTGGCTACAAGGTACTCCCCATAACCGCGGTCGTCCTTGTTTGCAAACGGGTTCACAAGCTGTGCGGCCCCGTAATCGACAAAAAACCTCCAAAGCTGCTTGCCCGTTGCGAGGTTGTAAACGCACAGCTCCTCTGCAGAGGTATGTAGATGTTGGTATGTGTGGCCAGCAAGCAAGTAAGCAGGGAAAGCAGGAAAAGCATGCGAGGCAACCTGCTGCTGGATGGATTGGCATTTCTCCGCTGGGTCGTCAATCCCTTCCTTGGGTTTTGATACGGCGCTTAGTTACACCAACTCATACTACATTCCTCAAAACTCGATCGCCCCAGGCGTTAGGTAGGTTTCTACAGGTTTCGTTAAAACGTTTCTTCTGCCGGTTTACCCTGATGATACGCCCACAACAAGGGGCAAACTGCTGATGGCAGGACCCTGAGACCTAGCAATTATTAGTAATGCACGTACAGCAGCTCCTTTATAAAACGAACGTTTACTACTACCACTGGCAACGTGTATGGCCAAAAAGACACTGCAGAAGGGAGCAATGTTCAGTCAGACAACAACTAACCACGAAACAGCAACATGAATGCCCCACCTCGAAAACGATCGCCTTCTTGTCCTCGAGCCTCTGCATAAATGTTCATGACGAGCAAAAGTGTCCTGTCGCGTGACACGTCAGCATCGTATGCATTTCGCAGCAAGCTGGCCCGCCACAGCAGCTTGTCATAGCTCTCGCCCTGCAAGTCAAACACCCTGATGCTGCCGTCTGAGCATACCGCTCCAAAACGTGTTGGATAGAGAGGAGTTTTCCGTCCTGTCGGCTCATCGTTTCTCTCCTCATTTTCCTGCAAGCCGTCGATCCTATAATAGCGCTCCTTAAACTCTCTGAAATCTTGGGGTGAGCTCAGGAAGAAGCAGCCCAGAGGGTCAGGCTCCTGTAACGCAGGATGGACCTGCCAAACACACGAAATGCAATCAAGGACAGAGGACAAGCTCAGAACGAAGCGGGAGAATTTTGTCTAAGCTAGGCAACAATCTCCAGTCCAGCCTGGCAGGTGGTACAATTACTAGGTAAAACAAAAACTACCTGTTTGATAACGTCCTGCTGTGCCATCTCAACAGCCTGCGGGTGCGTGTAGTAGCTGGCCGCTGAAAAGGCCTCTCGAGATACTCGTGATAGCGCTTAGCGCGTATTTATAGTTGTTATGTGTGCCGTATTCTGTACCCGCTACTACAGTACGAGAGCCGAGGGCAGCAGCACGCAGTGTAGCTATTATGTGCATTTCGTCTGTGTACGTAGCTCAGATAGATCCTGACAGACAGGGGTGTGTAGTTGCTATGTACGGTGGAATCACCATTGTTGGATCTGACAATAATCTCCGGAGATGAACTTGCTTGGCCTCCACATGCTGCTGCACAGCAGGCCTGTTAGTTGGCCGGCTTATCATCGCCTTAGGTAATCGTCACCAATGACCTGTTGCACCCACGAAGGATCCTGAAGTAATGCCCGGCGCCACCGGGCAACTAAGCTGTAGCAGGTCTAGGGTCTGACGAATTACCTTAACATTTACTATTCCTTATTATCTGGTCCCAACAAACACATTTTCTATCTGGTCTTTCCGTTTTCGCTTGGCACGGCTGATGAATAAGTTCGCTAGAACTAACTAAGTTCCAACTGCCTATTTTGCCGCCTTTCTGTCAATATCTATGGCTCCAACCTCTGGGTCCGACGGTGAGTGGGACTGCAATAAGGGATCAACTCACCTTGGCATCTCCCGCGAGTACAGTTTGTCTGGTCTTACAGGGACGCTGTCACGGATGCCTACAAGTAAATACTTTTTATAAACTCCGCCTCAGGCGGAAGTCCATACTTGCAGAAGTATGGGGAGGGTCGTAGCACAGGTTACGACTGGGGCGCTGGTCCCTGGCTCGCGGAGCCCCGTCATCGATTGGAAGCATGGATCAACAGTTCACCGTTCCGGGACTGGCCGCGCCATTCCGGAACTGGCTGTACGACTCATGAGATGGCTGCATCCCCGCTATTTATACGGACAAAATTCTTCCAATCGGTGTCTTCCGACAAGGAGGGTAGGATCCGGGCTGGAATTAGGGAGGAGCTCTGTCGCAGAATTAGCCTGGATTTTATTCCTGACAAAAGAATTGGTCTGCCGAGGTCTGGAATTGTTCTGGCGGACCCGCTGGAGGTATTCGAATTGCGCTGTGGAGCCTCGGAATTGGGCTGTGCTGGGCCTGAATTGGCCTGTCCGGGTGTCGAATTGGCCTGACAGGGTGCCGAATTGGCCTAACAGGGTATTGAATTAGCCTGACAGGGTATCGAATTGACCTGTTCGGGTTGTCAAATTGGCCTGACAGGCTATCGAATTAGCGTGTTCAGGGTGTCGAATTGGCTGTCAAGTTGGCAGGATTGGCTCGGGCTGGCATCCAAAAGCACATGACTTTTAAGGAATTTACAGAAAAACTTTGCAAGAGGACCGCTTGCAAGTGCCTCATGTGCGTATTAGTTTCGATGCCACGACAACTTGCACACCTGGTTACCGTACTCTGGCACTACTACTACTACTACTACCGGAGGCAAGCACTCAGGGCCACGACCGCATTACCCAGTCAAGTCAGCTGCCGAGGTCCCACTGTTTTCACACCACACTTTATCGACAGTCCGTCCAGTTTATCCCACAACACTCGTACACATGAATAGGTTCGGGTGGAAAACAATGACAAATCTCTGATAAACCGCTAAACTCAGTACCACGAGCTACATTGAAAACAAATGAAAATACAGATGTCTGCCGAGAAGAATATGTTCGCCATATGTTCGCCATATGTTGAATGTAGAATATGTTCGCCATATGCAATCTATGCCTTAATCCATCGAGCTCTCCACTGGGAGGGGCATGGCCCATGAAGTCGCCCCCGGTATTCCGCCCATGCAACCAAACACTGACACAAAACGTTGCACGTCTGGGCCCATGTAAACCACGACACTTCCATGTGGATTGGCTACCCGCGCTCCCCATGTCAGGGGTCCTCCCTCCTGCTGTTGACTCCCAGATTGCCCACGCACAAACGCCAAACGTTGGCGCAGAAAACAGACAGGCCATTGTAGTATGGCATCAAACCATGCATAACCCACAGCGGATTTCAGCAGCAGTACTGCTTGGTGAATGCGACCAGCCGTGTACTCTGTTGCGCATCTCTGGAAAAACAGGCTCTGATAGCTTGCACCACCGCGCACCCCAAAAGGCGGGTTGACAAACACATTGCCCATCCACGCGTTGCACTCCAACAGACCATCAGATTCCATATCGTAATACACTGTCGCCCCAACACGTGTGTTAGCAGCCGCGGACGAGCATGGGTCCAGGTCGATCCTGCCAGGAGTGAACACCTCGCGCACCAGCTCTATGATACTCAGTGGGGTGAACCACTCCGGACTCTCACTGGAGAGAAACAGGCGCACATTCCCACCCCCTCTGCTTCGAACCATATTGACTCCCTCACCAGACTCGCTATCGCTGATATCCATTTCGCTGCTGCTGTTGTCGCTGCCAGTACCCCGCAGCAAACGGCTCCTGCCTGTGACCTCCAATGCACATTGCTCAACGAGCCGCCCACTCAGGAGTCGTGACTCGGCTTCAGAGCGTGCCACAGCAAGGCGCCATGCCCCTAGCGCATCACAAGGTGGCAGAGCTGTAAGTGGACGGACCTGGCGCTCGCTGTTAGGCATAACATCTGAGGCGGAAAGCAACCGCAAAAAACGAGCAGCCGCTACCAAAGCCTGTGCATACCTCGGTGCAATATCTAATCGTCCCGATTCAGACACATACTGCACGAATGACCCAAATCCCAGACAACTATATAGGCGCCCCTCTTGAATGTCCAGCAGCGAGTTGGCCATGAGTCGAAACTGTGAACCACTGTAGCAGTCGCTCACCTGACGGGAGGACTGACAGAGCGGAAGCGTGGAGTTATTAGTCCTCGTCGTTGTAGGAAGAAGTCCAACCAAGCGGCAAGCACTAGCGTACATAAGATGTGTACGTAACGGTTAGAGACGGCGGCAGCGGAGTCTTGAACTCCGAACACCTAGTAATGTGATACGTCAGTGTCTGGCCAGAACACCCCGCCCGGGTAGCTTACATCTCGGTCTACCTGCCGGATAATCTCTACTACGGACTTTGCCGTACTAGGATAATGTTGGTGGGGCCCGGGGCCCCAGCCCGTTAGATTCGCTTACGAACAACTGCCCAGTTCGCGACATGTGACGAAACTCGGAACATGTACGAAACTTGAGTCAGATCGTTTAACAGATTAACAGTTATTGTTAAAAGTAATCGTTAAAATATTCTAAGGGAAATGTAGCCTGCTACAGTCTCCCCCCTCTGAAGCGAACCGTCCCGGGAGCGTCACTTCTTCTTAGAAGATTTCCGTCCCTTGGGTTTTTCCGGGGCTTGAGGGTGTTTCTTAGACGCCAGTTTGCGTTCATATTCGTCGATGGATTCAGCCAAGGGGGTAGACTGGCGAAGGGATTCCTCTGGTTCATAGGTATTATGACTAGAGTCGTAACCTTCCCATTTAATTAAATACTCTCGACGTGTTTTTCCACGTCCCCCTCGGACTGAAACATCACGATGGTCGACAATGGCTTCGACCATAAAATACGGCTCACCCTCAATGACGAGTGGCGCCGGTGGTTGTCGCTTAACGTCTTCTTTGTACAATTTCAACAAAGAGACGTGGAAGACCGGGTGTAGGCGGGAGGCCGCCGGTAAGTCCAGTTTTACCGCAGCCTCGCCCACGCGAGCGACAACAGTGTATGGGCCGATGAACTTAGGCATCAGCTTCTTGGTTCCAGGGGTTTTTAATGTAATATTTTTAGTAGATAACAGCACTTTCTGCCCAACCTCGTAACGCACTGGACGCCTATGCATGTCGGCGTCGTCCTTTTGGACTTGTTGCGCAGCCAAGAGACACTTTTTAGCTTTGCTTATACGCTCACGAAACATCGCTTCTTGCTTCTGAGCGGCAGGCACCTTAGTTTTGAGGTGAAGGTCAACCGGCACACGTGGTTGTCGAACACCATTCAGGGAAAACGGAGTTGTCCCCGTTGCCTTCTGTTTTGAGTTGTTTATGGCAAACTCAATCAGTGGCAAATGCTCATCCCAATCATCTTGAGTGGGTGATATGTAGTGCCTGAGTGTCTCTTCCAGAACGCGATTCATGCGTTCCGTTCCCTACCAACTCATAGGGGGTCTAACAGCGGCTAACAGGCGTGCCTGTTAGGAAATGTTAGCCTAACAGATTCTCTAACAGTGATGGGGCTGTCAGACGATGTTTGGGCTGGCGGCAGGTGGACCTGGCTGTTAACAACCATGTTGGAGAAGTAGAACAGGAATTGGTGCTGTTAGCCGTTGTTAAGGCTTGTCAGATGTTTTCAGACTGTATTTTAGCTCTGTCTCACGGTGTTGATGGATAATATCGTTTAGAACAAACATTCTTGAACGGTTTGTAACGAAATGTCCTGCCTTTTGCCTATTATTTGGCAAACCATACGTTTCAAGCAATATCATCAATCATGCATATTACCTCGCTTATTAGCAAGGCACTAATTGACTGGATGAAAATCCAGGCTGCTGTTCCAAAAGCACTACTGCTGCAGTGAATTTAGGCATGAAACGAATGGCACTACTTACATGGCGTAAGGTATCCATGTGCTTCACAGTTTAGCATACGAAGCACTACTGCATTTGAAAAGCAGTTCAACGCCAATATCTGCTTACAGCCACCAGCAGGCCCACAAGGTTGAATGATCTGCATCCTCTCTCTT